TGCTTGAAGGACTTTAGTTAACTAAACCTTAAGATTTATAACGGGCCCTCGGGCTAGCCGAACATGTACTGCGGAGACGCATCGACATCTGGCAATCATCTTACTCGAAGAATAGGGTCTGCGTGTGGCGAGTTACGGAACAGAGACCGTTGGAATGTTTACTGTCGAGTGTTACAACTATTTCCTTTTTAAGGAGAGCTATAGAATTATTCCATGCCTTTGTTAGACAAAGCGTTCATCCCGTGACCGCGACTACGTTCGGCGACTGACTGTCGCCTCGAACCCAAGCTCATTATCACAACCTTCGAACAATTACAATCGGATTGAATAACTACAATTGTTCAATTACAGCTATAGTAGACTCTAGGTTACAACGTTGCGGGATTATCCAAAATTCCAAAGGCTCCGGTGTTCTTTCATCTCCGACACATATATACAGGATGAACCACCTAGGAATTTAAGCTGAAATATTTTCCATACTATTAGTCATATCGAAAAAAGGTTGAGATGAAAGTTGAGTGATTTTAAGAAGAAATATTTCGATGCTATTAGCTTTTCTGTAGGTGGACACGTTATGCGGAGGTGAACTTTGTTTCTTGCGAATGGATTCATATACTTTTTAATACATTAATCGATGCAGCCTGAAATTGTCTATAAAAAATTATTAACTTACTTATATCGAAAAACTGATAGTTTAATAGGTATATTAATTTTTATTTTGTGAAACTTATCGTATTTGTTTCCCAGTGTTTGCATGAAAACGATAAAAAGTTTAAGTAATGAGAATCGAAAACTGAATTTGAGACTTTGTTCGAAATCAATTAAAGTACCCCCGAGGTTGGGTAAAGAACGAATATACATCGATTCAAACGATGGAAGGTGCAGTAATTCTTACCTACAACCAATCCAACAAGACACGTAGGACGGTTTACCTTGTATAAGAAGAAACATTAAACCTGTCCATTCATAAATCTATAAAAAAATATTAAAACCCACTTTATGCAAATTCCAAATGGAAAAGATTAATGTCGATTCAAGAAATTTCTCACATAATAACAAAGAAATAAAGTAATAAACACAAAGTTACAAAGTACGTTATGCACACAACGCATACAATACAGAAATCATTGAATATTAAACATTACATAGTAGAGTATTTACATGTACACTCACTTGCACGAAATGTATTATGTATTTGACGGAAGTGAATAATGTATTCCATGCACTCGCTTATCGATCGTTTTGAATGTTTGCATCGTCGACCACCGCGATCGATGATTGGTAGATGGCGCCCGTGACTCTGCGCAAGTGTACGAAGGTCATGTTCTTTTCTTTCGTTCCTCCGTAGTTGATAAATGCGTCTTAGGGCCATACAGTTAGCGTTAGCGAATGAGATCGATGCGTCGTTGTTAGGTGTGTAAGTATTTCTCTTAACAAATTGAAAGATAGTGTACATATGACTCTACACATGCTTCTGACGTTTATCACGCAATTTTAATTTAGATTTTGATTCACAATCCAATCTTTTCAATCTGTTTCGAATAGCCAGCTAGCCAGCTATAGGAAATATGTAGATGCGATTAAAGAAATTCATTAAGTACTTAGGTCTTTTAAAATACAAGAAATATAATATTAACACAGATGGACTGAACACGGTGAAATATGTAAGAAGGCACTAAAGATATTGAGAAAATGTTTGTACAAGTGGTTCGGTACGATAGGAAGTAATGTATTGCAGACTGAGGTAATAAGTCAGAAATCAAGATAAAAGTCGAATATTATAGAAGACACAGTCTGGAAAAGATAAAATTTGGACTGCGTTCCTTATCAGTAGATATCAAGACGATTCCTTCTGATGTCAATGCCTTTTGCATTAACATTCTGGGCGGTCATTTCTTTGTGAGAGCTCGTCTCTCTTGGTTTATTTCTTTAGTTCGAAATACTTTTCGTATCCTCTGTAGGATGCTGGTTGGGATGTTATTGCTATTTTTAATTACATTTAATTACATTACAACACTATATTTCACACATTACACATGTCTATATCAGCGATTGCAGCGTGACGTTGAATGACTGACTTTTCGACATTTTTTTACATTTTTACATCGTACGCTATTTATATCTTTGAGGGATCTCCATGAGACAATAGAATGCGTACAAAATTTAATATGTTGAAGATTAGAAATATTTCCTTTTGACACTAACTGTACAATATATTATATAGGGAGAAGTCTACTTTCTCGTGCTGACCATTTTGTTGAAAAACGTTGAACAGAGGAGAATTAAACACTACCAGGTACTCTTTTTAATTCTTCAAACACTACTTCACATTCGAAATAACCATTAAGATCTTTAAGTAACATTTTAATCTTCATTTTTGATTTGGTATATTTGGTTCGCTTGCGCCATCCTCGCATCCGGTTCATTTACGAACCTCTTGTGTTCCTATTTTGCGTATTTCACAAAATACTCTTGCCTGCTTCCCACGCCGCTCGAGCCTCAGCGCATACAGCACAGTAACATTTACTAATAGGAATTTGCAATATTTAAATTTAACTAGCTCTTAAATTAATACTTTTTTTTATAATAACTATAGTAGGTAAGTTTAATGAAATGTATTATATATGTCGGAGATGACGGGACATCGGGATCTTTCTTCTGGAATTTTTGGGAAGATCCCCAATACTTTAGTCTAGACTATTTATTATAGCTGTACTTAAATAATAAAACTTAGAAATAGTTGTTATGATTCAATCCTATTATGTTTGCCCGAGATTTGTGACGGTGGGCTTGGGCTTGAGGTGAATCACTCCCTTTCCGCTTGTACCACCAGTTACCAACCACCCTGTATAGATAATTAAAAACGCGTTAAGCTCCGCTTCTAGTGACAAATGCAGCATATATAGGTCGTCTCCTCTCAGAACTACACTTCATCTCGTGTGTTACAATGCGTAATTTTGTAAAAAATGATTTAAATACTCAAATTAACATATCACCATTGCTACTACAGATATGAA